CGGTTTACCTTGAGTTTGTATCTATTGTGTGCTCGTGTATTGTTGTGGTTGAAGCTGAGGTAGACACTGATGGGTTGGACATTGCAATAGATAATTTATGTACTACACTTAGGTTGGACTGAAGACGGTGTAGTTCTAGGTTGTCTAAGCGTAAAATTTCAAGTCTGTTGGCATAAGGTATTCTGTTGTGAGTAGAGGAGCGGAGGACTCTTCCCATGAAATATCTTTGTACAATGCTTAATCATCCAGGACTAATCAAATTCTGGACAGCAGCCTAAGCTTTGGGAATAGATGTGGCCTCATTCTCTCTTTTATAGTCTCTGGATTGTCCTCCAATCACAATTACCTAATCAGAGCATGATCTCTTATTTGAGGACACGAATTACAGTGTGTTCTAAAATAAGTTGAACCAAGTCAACAAAGATACAGCTGCCTATCCACCATCCAGAAACCAAGCAGAAATTTGATTTGTGTGTGATTTGGCCCACCTTTTTTGCATGGCTATCTTGTCCAATGTGGCCTCCACATCCCGCAGAATAAGTCACGTGTGGCCCTTGGATGCCTACAAACTTATTCACACCCATTGAATCTGTTGTTGTCCCTTCCATTATCACTAATCTACAAAAATCCCGATTTCTTCCCCCTTTGAGTTCAAACATTGATTGCTTTTGACTACAGTCTGTAGCTATTGCTCATAATTACAAGAATAGGTGTTGATTTTGCTTCTTCTGCTTTCCCCCCCCTTCCCCACTTGCTAAATTAGTTTCCCTGCCCTGAATTTTTGAATTTCTTCCTTTTGCAACCCACGGGAAATCTTTTAAAAGCTCCTTCTGTTTCTTGGCCAAACCACTTTGGAAGCAACTTTGGGGGGGGGGAGGGTTGGAAAAGCAGATGTTGGCGTTCTCCAAATCACCTGGCAGCCATGCAAAACATCCCTGGGTGACTCTTCTTGGTCCATGCTGGCTTTGTGTGTTTTATTTTCCCAAAGAGAGAGAAAGAGACTCAAGAACTCTAAAGGGTGAAACTAGGCTTATGTGAAACCATGGTTTCAGAAGCTAAGTGTGTGAAGATCTGAAAGACTTTGAAACCACCTGATCTAATTTTATGGACTTGTGTGTTCCTTGATAGGTACTTTAGATTACAGGGGTGGATAATATGAGCAACAGGCCGCTTAGATGGCATCAATGTTCCTATTTTTAGGAGGGGGTCAAAATAAAGAACAAAATCTGAACACACCACTTCTGATCCTTAATTGTCTTTTTTTTAATCAGCCCACAAAAGAGAGTCCAGGCTAGTCTTTGTGGTCCTGGCTCCTTTTGTGTCTGGCTATTCCCTCTGGCTGTATAGCCTGAACATGTAAAGTCCATCTCTTATGAGGATGAAAGGGAGGGAGGGAGGGAAGGAAGGAAGGGGAAAAGGGAAAAGGGAAGGGAAGAAAGGAAGGAAGGGAGGAGAAGGGAAGAGGGAAGGGAGGAAAGGAAGGCAGGAAGGAAGGAGAAGAGGAGAGGGAAGAGGAAAGGGAGGAAAAGAAGGAAAGAGAAATAGGCTGTCTCTGTTCTGTATTAATAAAAATATATACTAGTCATTTAATGCATTAGATTTGGGCTGGAAGGTTTTTGTTTTGTTTGGATTGTATTGTCATTATCCTTTGAAATTTGTGCAACAGAACAAGGGCCCTTTTGTTTTAATGCAAGTTTTAATAAAGGCTCAATGGAGGGAGAAATGGATGGTGGTTTTTCAGTGGGCGAGGTGACACCTTATATTATGCCCCATTTTCAACATTGGCTTGGCACAAATACATCTGCAAACTTGGAAACTTTGCATCCTCGTTTGGAAGAAAGTGGACGAAGTAGCAGGAAGAATGTGTGGTGGAGAGAATGATTGACTCTTTTCCTCTCCGATAGCCTCGTGTTGCTCTGCAGACAGCAACTTCCAGAACTCAAATCTAAAGATTTATTCCAGAATTCAGGCCTCCTTTAGCAAAACCACCCCACCATACAACCTTGAGTTGCCTTCAAAGAGGCCCTTTCTTTGCCCTGAATCAAAATGGCAGCATGTTGATCCTGAAGAGTTATTGGTGATGAGAGACAGAATGAGGAAGGAATGCTGGTCAGGTTGACTTATGAGTTTTTTATTGAACAATGCTAATTTTGTGCCATGGTCTGAGCTTTACAAGAGCAAAAGTGACCTCTTCAGCTCTTCACGCAGCCCGATGTGATGCTACCTGTTTCTCATTATGTTGCGTATTTCCCAGTGGTCTGTCCAGCTGATTTTTAGTTTTTTTTTGAGAGAGAGAGTTGCTGAATCAGTCACACGTAGTAAGGTACAATATAAAATAAATGAAGAATCCTGCAGTGCTCTTAAATTTTGAATGCTGCTACAGTAATGAATTTCCTAGGTGTTAACTGAGCAACAAGATGATTACTGTTTAAAATTACCAGCTTTTCTTCTGTCCCAAGAGTGTTTAGCAGTAGCAAGCAAATAAGATAACATTTATGGGGGGGAAAAGTCATCAGTAATGATAAAATAAATGTTTTGTGGTGGTGTAGCTCAAACTGAGTGACAATTTCATGACGAACATTTGAGGATAAGATTTTCATCAATTTGTATGACAACAAAGCAAGGTCTGACTTCTAAAAAAGATATTTAATTTCTAAATTAATCCATTTGTTTCCTTTGATAAACCATTTATTAAGGTTCTTCTCTGTAGTTTCCTTCAAAGAAAAACCAATTATCCACCAGGGAGTTGAACTTCATATGTCTACCTGCTTCCTTTCTACACGGAAGTTATATTTTCTAGATAACTGTAATAAATTCCGGTTCACACATTGTTCTAAGTCATAATTTCTCTCTCTTTTGTATATGTTATTTTTATATGTTATATCTATTTCTATGCTATAGTATTTATGGCCAAAATGATGGCCAAGAAAATCGCACTGTGTTCAACTGTTTTTAATGTTTACTTAATAATTTTTTTAAAAAAATCTTAATTTCTCAATCCCAACAACTTTAAATCTCAATCCCAACAATTTAAATCAAGCCACCATGGGGAATTCTGGGAGCTGAAGTCCACACATCTTATACATTGCTCAGGAAATATTGAGAAATATTGCTCTGAGTTACAGGCTGATTTGATCATCATCTGCTTTTTGTAGCTTAATGCAATATATGTGAACTTAATCAATGTGGTTGATAAATCAAAGTTTGTGACTTAATTTATTATGCAAGCCAGTCAGTTGGGGGTCTAATGTACTTAATAAATTGTGGTTAAGCAAACTGCTTCTCGTACTAATCAAATCTTCTTGTCATGCCATTTTTTACAAGACCTAAAATATTTATACTATAAATCAGAGCAGGAGCTAGGCTTTCTATTTTATTTGATTCTCATTTTTTTAATGGTCAATAAATTTGTTAACACATAGATAAAACAGAAAGCTATTCCAAGCATACCTCTTAAGTTCTGCTTAAGTCTTCAGAGGCAATTTTGGAAAATAACCATGCTGGCTGGCTGTAGTGCAGAAGGATGCCCCCACCAAAAGAAACCAAAACAATAACAGAAGTAAAAATGGGTGGCAGAAAGCAAACCTCATCAGTTCCTCTTCTGGGAAATGGGTATATTTTGACTTGCAGCCTTGCATTTTCTCAGCCCATACTGCAGGAACTCAATGAAGCAATGAGTATATGTTCTATCCAAGCAGGTGCTGAAATTTGGCCAAACAGATGCATTCTGGTTGGTTTGGTGCCAGATCACTTGTCAACGTCTATCTCAAAGAATGAAAGCCATTTGTAAATTCCACCTTTCTTTTGCCTTCATTCAGTTTCACAGAAGGATGCCAGGAAAAACAAATGTATATTAGTTAGATTTCAAAAGGTCACCAGGAACACTTTCTCCTTCCTTGTAGCTTCTGTGATTGCTTATGTAGACGGTTCTTTGGGCTGGAGCACAATACGGGCGTCTGTAGTTATGACTTGATTTAGGTGAGCAAGAGTGTGACTTGATCTCCAAGCTTAATGGCTGGACATTTCATTGGAACCAATCCGAATTCCATGGAGCAACAGAACAAAACCTCCAACTTCTTCAGATCTGATTCTTCAAGTCAGATATTAAGCATGTTGGTGTGGGTGGGAAGCTGGCTTGATTTTTGAGTCGCTATATTTAGTTAGTCTTAAGATGGCATTCGGGGAAGAAGCAGCAGATGTTGTGGTTAGCCATCTGCTAACTTGACTTCCTTCCCCCACTTTCTCCAGATGAATACATGGTTGATCAGGAAAGCTGAACACCTTGACCATTAATATGGGTTGCTTTGCCACTGTAATTACCTCTCTCTAATTTTGCATCTTGTTATCTTTGAATTTTTAATTCGTTCCTTCTTCATGTCATAGAGCATCTTCGTATTTGTTGGTCTTGTGTTACGGATACAAGATCTTCTGCTAAACAGTTATTGCAGTATAGTTACAGTTCTTTCTTTCTTTTTTTTATGTTTTAGCAGACTTTTGGAAATTGGTATTTGCCTTTAATTTTCAAATTGCTGCAGGTACTACTTGTATATTCATTTCAAGTATAACTTCTATAATACTTCCAGCAATCTTCACACTGCTGATTCTTCACTAATAATAATTGTTATTTGGACAATGGTTTTGAGTGTTTGCATAGATGGCATACAAACCTGCAAAGAAGGATGGAGTTTTATATGTATTACAGGTCATCATACTAAAAATAGGTTCTTACCAAAGCAAAGGTCATTTCATGGGAGAATAGCTGGAGGTGAACTTTGAATTGAAACAACTTATATTTTCCAGGAGCTGTTTCCAAGATTTGGGACTCTCCGCCAAGGGTTGCCTAGTTAATTACATTTTTGCTTGTACTTCTTTCGTCGAACACAAAGGTATTTATTCAGGAGGAATTTTGGCCTTTCGTGCAAATTTCTGGCTGATTTGGCTCTTTAACTGATACTGCTGTTTCCGCAAATGATATGTTAGTTATCTTCTGTGTAATTATATATTCTTTTATTTCAGGTGACATGGGCCTTCTTAACCACTCAAAGTAGGAAGGCATGATCTACATTGATAAATGATTTCCAATTCACCCGCAATTTAAAAACTCCCAGGGAATCTGAAACCACATCATATTCATTGTGATAATGGACTTTTGGACTGAAACTCCCCTTTGTAAGAAGATACCCAGATATCAAAAGCGGAACAAATCCTGCTAAATCTTTCCTTGATAATTGGAACTCCACTGTGCCAGGAACTTCCAGACCAATAACTGGCAATACATCTGGGAAACGGGAGATGGATGTGAAAATCTGATAAATTCTAACCTGAACTCTTTTGTCATTTATCAACTGTATTAAGCCCCAGAATAGGTGGGAGGGGAAGAGTTCTACTTTGTTGAATATAATGTGGGTTTGTTGGAAATGCCTCTTTGTCGTACACTCTGAAAAAGATTTATTGGTGTCTTCCTTTGGCAACGAATAAAAATATGCCATTATTTTGTATACTCATATGGATAATATATTAGCCAATCTGGAGTTTCACACAACTGTCAGCAAGCATGGGAAGTGTTTCTGCCTTCAGTGCTAGGCATTAGTTTGGCAACCTGGAGAATATTTTCTAGAATATTAAATAAGGAAAAATAGCAATAGCACTTATATACCGCTTCGCTTCACAATGCTTTACAGCCTCTCTAGGCATTGTACAGAAGGATGGAAGGCTAAATCAACCTTGAACTGGTCAGGATCAAACTCTTGGAAATCAGCAGAGTTAGCCTGCAATACCACATTTTAACTATTGCACCACCATGGTTCTTAAGTTTATTGTTTGGAAGTATGATAGACCCAAAGGTGCTTTTTCCAAAAGGCCGATGGATTGTCTTGGGGTTTTTTTGTTTGAAAATAGTTAGCTTTTCATCCAAGGAGCATCTTCAGTTCTTAAGAAGTTCTCCAATTTAAGAATTGGAGTAAGTTTCTTGGATGAGAGGCAAAAAAAATTTGAAGTCCAGTTGACTTTTAGAAAAAGCACCATTGGAACAACCATGACCTGGATGGTTGAAAATCTCCATAGTCAAATGTGGTGGACATTTTCTGTGAAATATCTCTGTATTAAAAGGGCCAAATATTTTATATATGCATAGGGTTTGTCTTCTAGGCTCTGGAACACGTTGGCTGGGGAATTCTGGGAGTGGAAGTCCACACATCTTAAAATTGCTAAGTTTGAGAAACACTGCTCAAAAATAATCTTTGCTGTCACTGATCTTCTCCATAAGTGTAGACAGTTCCTAGAATTCTCAGTAACCTAAAACCTTGATTTTATCTCTCTCTATCTCTCACACACACAAAAGTTCACACTGGTTAAGTAGATTTCAGATGGAACAGGCCAAATCTGAATTCATATATCTTATGTAATTTATATAAAATTTACATAAAGATTATAAAAAATGAAATTAGTGGAGATTCCACACTTCTCTTCCTTCTATTTTAGGTCATCCAGTTTCAATTTCACTGTATAATGGTTTCTGCATTTTGTTCTCCATTTCAAATGATTTTAGTCTCCTTTGATGAAGACTGAAAGAAGCAGAAGAGGACATTAAAAACCTAATTTCTACCCAAAAAAAGAAAGAAAAATGTTAAAAATGCTGCAAGGCTTTACACACACACACACACACACACACACACACACACACACACACACACACACACACCAAAGAAACATACACCTGTAGAATCCAAACTGCCATGAAGCAATTGCCTTTGTTTTCAATAAAACTGAAAAACATCCAATACTGCAGTCATTTGAAACACATCAGGAGAAGTACAGAAATTATTACAGCAGCTGGGCGATGCAATACACAGTACTTACTTTTGATGTCTTCCTGGAATATTGGTTCTGATTCAGGCTTTGCACACCTGTTGGCAACATGGGAGGTGTATTAAAGAGAATTATGTGCAATTTTTTGGAATCATTGTATAATGCCTTACAGCAGTTAATCCTTCTCTGAATGACTATGGCGAAGAGAATCGGTGTGCAGATTAAATAGAGAACTGAGTTAGTTAATTGAGACTTAGTTGAAGTAAAGGGAGTTAGGTCAAGCTAGATGTTAGGTCAAGCTTTCCATAGCCATGGGATGTCCTGCTCCTGATGAGTTGACGTACTATCGCCTTAAAGCATTTTCTTTCTTGCCTTATTATATCCGTAATAACAAGACAAAGCTCTTTTCCAATATCTGATGGACAGGATTGAATATCTCTCAAGTTCAAATTGAGTCCCTGTTCTTTGCCTTAATTTCTGCTTAGTTTGAATCACATTAAAGAGAGAGCTAGAACTGAGAAGAAATTTCCTGACAGTGAGAACAATTAACCAGTGGAACAACTTGCCTCCAGAAGTTGCGAATACTCCAACACTGGAAGTTTTCAAGAAGAGATTGGAAAGCCATTTGTTTGGAATGGTCTAGGGTCTCCTGCCTGAGCAGGGGGTTGGACTAGAAGACCTCCAAGGTCCCTTCCAACTTTATTATTCTGTGTTCTTTGTAAGCTTCTGTTTGTCGTGCAAGTATATTTTCCCATACTCACAGTAAATATCATCAGTACATTGATAATGCTCAGTGATCCATCTGAACCCCTGGCTAACTAAATGACGATGCTGAAGTGCTCATCGTCTGTTGCTGGGGGGATTTGGATGGGGGCAAAATAGACCCCCGCTTAACAACAGCAAGATTGAGGGGCTGTGAATTTGCAGTCCAGCTGGATGTCGAGAATTTTCATCTTTGTAATTCAGGATTGAAAAATCACCCTGCCTCAATCAAGAGTGTTCAAAATTCATTTGAATATTTACGCTTTGCAATCAACTCTTTGCTTCCGTGATAGCATTGCAGGCCTAACGTTCTCGTTCTAATAACATACTCTTTGTATGTTATGTGTCTTCCTTTTCAGGTGATTATAAATAGCACCATCACACCTAACATGACTTTCACAAAAACCTCCCAGAAGTTTGGCCAGTGGGCTGATAGCAGAGCCAACACCGTCTTCGGCCTGGGTTTTTCTTCTGAACAGCAGCTGACAAAGGTAGGTAAATTGGAGTTTACTTTTGCATGCGTTTGGAGGCGGTGGTTGTTGTCAGGGTATTTTTTATTTCTTTTTGGTAAGCTCTGCAATAATCTCACCAAATTAAAAGAAGAGGCATATGGATCCAGTGGGAGTCTTACTTGATAAATTGGAACTTCTTCCATTTTTTTCTTAATTAACAAGCAACTTCTCCCTGGGAAGGTGATTAATTTCCTATAATTAGCTGGTGGGAAGTAGCTTGTGGGTGGTGCTAATTATCTTTTTTTCTATTTTAATTGTTTTGGGGAATGCCTGATGCTGTACCCCTGCTTTGGGATAATCTGCCCCTGCAAATCACTGTATGTGGGATCCTTTATTTCTCTAGTCCATCCCAAGACGGTTTCATTGGGGTAGATTTGATTTTTAAATTCTTCTCCCTTCAGTGACTATCAATAGAAAACTATCAAGTAGCCTTGCTCATCAAAGGAAGGAGATAATTACAGATTCATCCATTAAGAGGTCTGTAAGGGGCGTGCATAAGTGCACAATTGTGCCTACTGTCCCTGTCCTATTGTCCCCATTTATTCGTATCTATTTCCTGTATTCTTACTCATGTTTATGCTTATTATCTTGTAAGCGATTGACAAATCAAATGAATAAAAATAAAAAAAATAAATTCTTTTAGTTAGTTCCCTAGTCTGTCTTTCTTCCAGGAACTCAAGATACTTCCTTGGTGAGGTTTATCTCCTGAAAGCCAACCCTGTGAAATACATTGGCCTGAAACATTGTCCCTGGACATTCTACCTTTAGCCATGCTTCCCTGCCTCCCTGTATGTTTTGCATAATTGGCTGGGCTCAGCCACCACACAGAATATCTCAAAACTCCAACTGGACCACCAACAACAACAACAACAAAAAAAAACCTCATGGCTTAGCTTCACTTCACTTCACTTCATTTAAAGATGATGCACTGAAACCAATGAGAATTGACATTAATAGATTAGAATGGAGTAGAATTCTTTATTGGCCAAGTGTGATTGGACACACAAGGAATCTGTCTTGGTGCAAATGCTCTCAGTGTACATAAAAGAAAAGATACATTCGTCAAGAATCATAAGGTTCAACACTTAATATAGTTATAGGGTACAAATAAGCAATCAAATTATACTAGGGAAACAGTCAATAAAATTGTTAGGATACAAGCAATAAAGTTACAGTCATACAGTCATAAGTGGGAGGAGATGGGTGAAAGGAAGGATGGGAGGATTAATAGTAATAGTAATAGTAATGCAGACTTAGTAAATAGTTTGACAGTGTTGAGGGAATTAACCATTATCTATGGGATTGGGATAAGGCAACAAGTGGCAGGTAAATTGACAAGAGAAGAGACATGTCTAACCTTCTCTTTGCTGTTTAAGCAGGAGGGAACAAGGATGGTGTATTGGTGGTTGTGTGACTGTAACCTTTTGAGTGTTGACAAAAGTTGTAGAAGAAAGATTGCTGTAACCAAGCCAAGTGATTGTTTGGTAAGCAGCAGTTTAATAATGAAGAATCAGGAATAAGCTTTCCTTTCTGTCTTGAAGCAAAACTCAGGGCAAATAATCATAGTGCTTGTCCCTGCTCTAAAAAAGGCACTTATCTTGACACAGAGCAAACAGGTCCTGTAAAAAATGCAAAGCATCCAGCCATTAACAGCGTGAGATTGCATTGGCTCCCTGGATGAAATGCCCTTGAGCCTTCTAAGAATTCCCTGTTAATCATGCCCTTCTCAACCCTGAAAGCTTGAAAGGCTACGAGGCATTAGAGCAGAGGCCATGTTGCCAGCCAATTCAGCTGCCACCTCCCTTCCCTAAGTGGGAGGGGAGGTCTGGTTGCTGCACAAGCCAAACCTTTATGGAGTTTGCAGCCTTTCTGTGTGTGACTCTGCCCTTGTGTGCCCCAGACTTCCTTCTTCTTCTTTTTTCTTAATTAGAAACAGGGGGCTAATTTTGTGGCTGAATGTATAATGTTCCCCAGGCAACATTTCTCCACCTTCAGCTGTGATGGGGGAGGCTGGTGCCTGTGTCGTAAACTGTAGTTGACTTCATTCACATTTACACTTCTTGTTTTGATGTCACTAAACATTAAATCCATGCCATATTTAATTACTAGCTTGATACCAGTGCTTCGCTACAAAACTATATGGTTGGGCTTAGTTTTTGGGGAGGAAAATAAAGGGGGGATTCTGCCTCTGTCTACCAGCATCCATCTCTATTCATCTGGCAAGTGTCTTGTCAGTATGTGAGAGAGTTGAGGGCTGTTTGGAAAGTGAAACAGCAAATAGCTGTGTGAGCAAGAAAGAGACAGCAAGGAGCCTGGGCGTGGCTTAGCTCAACTGTTCTGTACTAAAGCTGGTTGCTGCCATGAAACTAAAACCTCTCCTCTGCT